ATCAATGTGATGAACAAGTTAGGTCAAAAGTAATTAAAAAAAAAAAAAAAAGTAGTCATTATATTACCTGAAATGTGTAATGGGTCACGTTACTAACTACAATTTTTGTCATGTAATTTTGAATCCGTAACCGACTACAGTTTGTTACTACACTCATGAACTAGTGTTGAGGCTGCTCCCAGAGTCTTGGCGTGGCAGTATGATTGTTTTATATCGTCATCATCTATTTTTGAATCTCTTGCAGACGAGCGGCTCAAGGAGATTTTTAATTGCACAGCATGTGGACAGCAAGTCAATCACTTTCAGAGAGATTCTGTGCTTCAACATCCCGCACTACATGTTCTTATCTGCAAGGTAGAAACCAGATTAACTTGTTACAGCCAATTACGCGCTTGTATCTCTCTCATTCACATGCATGCCTTTTTCTTACAGTCGTGTTTCAAATATTATATGAGTGACGATATCAGCAAGGATGAAGATGGAATGGATGAGCAATGCAGGTTGGTGCAGAACATGTATTTATTTATAACACTCTAGCTGTGACGATACCAACGTATTAGTAGTCAGTGGAATTACACTTTTCCCAATACCACTTTTAATGCCACAGCAAACACTTATCCTGATGAATGCACTGCAGTATAAAGTCAAATTAAGTGAAAACATTGCTGTGCAACTTTAAGGGTTCTCAGTTTAATTAGTAAATGGGTCAAAGACAAAAAAACGGTTTTCAAGCATCAAAACAATAAGTGAAATACAGGTTTGAATTGTTGTTGGTTTTTAATACATTAGAAAGTAATTAAATAGTGTTTTTTTTCTTTTGTGCAAAAAATAAAGAATTTTTTTTTTTACCATGATTTACAGAAAACTATCACTATCCCACTATCCCAGTTTGGCTATTTGTCAGCAAGATTTTTGTACTCAATTAAAATGCGATTAAAATTTAGTATGCTCACTTATTCTTTTATATATTTTAATACGCACAGGTCAGAATAAGTATGTTGTTTGAACTTTTACATAAATGTACACTACCGGTCACAAGTTTGGAATCAGAACGATTTTTTTTTGCTTTTTACAGGAGTCTCTTCTGCTCATCAAGGCTGCATTTATTTGATCAAAAATACAGGAAAAAATTTAGTATTGTGAAATATTATTACAATGTAAAATAATGTTTTTCTATTTTAATATACATAAAAACCTAATGTATTTCTGTGATGCGCAGCTGTATTTCCAGCATCATTACTGCAGTCTTCAGTGTCACATGATCTTCAGAAATCAGTATAATATCCTGATTTATTATCAGAGCTGGAAACTGTTGCTGCTTCATATTGTTTTGGAATCCGTGATACGTTTTTCAGGATTCTTTGATGAATAAAAAGATAAAAAGAAGAGCATTTCTTTAAAATAGAAATCTTTTCTAACAATATACACTACCGTTCAACAGTTTAGGGTCGGTACATTTTTATTCTTTAGTTTTTTGAAAGAAATTAAAACTTTTATTCAGCGAGGATGTGTTAAATTGTTAAGAAGTGATTGTTATTAAAAGTGATTAAATTGTTATATTTTGTATAAATGCTGTTCTTTTTAACTTTTTATTCATCAAAGAATCCTGAAAAAAGTATCGCAGTTTAAAAAAATATATATATATTGTGCAGCACATCTGTTGATAATTCTAATAATAAATCTGCATATTAGAATTATTTCTGAAGATCATGTGACACTTTACACTGG